CTTTTGGGAGTTAACTGTTTAGATTCTTTGGTCCCTACACTCTTAAAACTTTTTAAATGTATACCTTTGTTTCCTCCCAGATGAATAATCAGTTATATCAGCATCATTTATTAAATGAACCACTCTTTTCCATCTAAAATTGAAATATTTCCTCTATTATAGCTTAAGTTTTAAATATACCTGTATCTGTTTCTGTGCTCTCTTGTCTTATATTACTTTTCTAGTCCTATGTTGCTTTCAATCTACATTGTTTTCAGTATTCTTGTATTTTTTTAATGTTCTAATGCAAGTCCCTCCTCACTAGTGTTACTTATTCACATGTTTTGGGCTCTTCATATATAACTGGTGGGATCATAGATTTATATTTGTATTATACATTGGGAGCTAAAGAAATTTATTCACAGTATTGAGTGCATTCACAATGCCAGGTCCCATGTAAAAGTGGGGAAATGGTCTCCCTCTGTTCTTTGTGCCATACTTTGTTACCTGGGTCACAAAGCATTTCTGCTTTACTCCTGAGCTCAAAGTCACTGTTGACCTGCTTTATCCATTCTTAGGCCTCACCACCATGCTTAGCCAACAGACCCAGACACAATATGCAACAGAGCTGAACCTTGAATAGGTACTAAGAGCTATTCATTCTTACTCGTTTTCTTTTTACCCTCTACTACCATCCAAGAAAAAGAAATGCAACAAGGCAAAATGGTTGTCTGAGGAGGCCTTAAAATGAGCTGAGAAAACAAGACCTAAGTGAAAGGCAAAGGAGAAAGGGAAAGATATACCTAACTGAATGCAGAGTTCCAGAGAATAGCAAGGAGAGATAAGAAAGCCTTCTTAAGTGAATGATGCAAAGAAATAGAGAAAAACATTAGAATGAGAAAGACTAGAGATCTCTTAAAAAAAAATTACAGATACCAAGAGAACATTTCATATAAAAATGGGCACAATAAAGGACAGAAGCAGTATGGACCTAACAGAAGCAGAAGTTGTTAAGAAGAGGTGGCAAGAATACACAGAAGAACTGTACAAAAAAGACTTCAATGACTCGGATAACCACGATAGGGTGATCACTCACCTAGACCAGACATTCTGGAGTGTGAAGTCATGTGGGCCTTAGGAGGAATTAGTACAAATAAAACTAGTAGAGGTGATGGAATTCTACCTGAACCATTTCAAATCCTAAAAGGTAATGTTGGCAAAGTGCTGTACTCAATATGCCATGAAATTAGGAAAACTCAGCAGTGGCCACAGGACTAAAAGAGGTCAGCTTTCATTCCAGTCATAAAGAGGGCAATGCCAAAGAATGTTCAAACTACCACACAGTTGTGCTCATTTCAAATGCTAACAAGGTAATACTCAGAATCAACGTGAACTGATAACTTCCAGATGTACAAACTGGATTTAGAAAAGGCAGAGGAATCAGAGATCAAATTTCCAATGTTTGTTGGATCATAGAAAAAGCAAGAGAATTCCAGAAAAAAATCTACTTCTGCTTCCTTGATTATGCTAAAGCCTTTGACTGTGTGGGTCACAACAAACTGTGGAAAATTCTTAAAGAGATGAGAATACCAGACCACCTTACCTGTCTCCTGAGAAACCTGTATGCAGGTTGAGAAACAGCCATTAGATCTGGACTTGAAACAATGGACTGGTTTAAAATAGGAATAAGAGTACTTCAAGGCTATCTGTTGTCAACCTGTTTATTTAACTTATATGCAGAGTACATCATGCAAAATGCTGGCTAGCTGAAGCACAAGCTGTAATCAAGATTGCTGGGAAAAATATCAATAACCTCAGACATGCAGATGACACCACCCTAATGGCAGAAAGCGAAGAGGAACTAAACAGGCTCTTGATGAAGGTTTTAACCTTCATCTCCTCTTTAGAGGAGAGTGAAAAAGCTGGCTTAAAACTCAACTTTGAAAAAACTATCATAGCATCCAGTTTCATCACTTCGTGGCAAATAGATGGGGAAAAAATGGAAACAGATTTTGTTTGTCTTAGTCTCTAAAATCACTGTGGATGGTGACTGCAGGCCATGAAATTAAAAGAGGTTTGTTCCTTGGAAGCAAAGCAGTGACCAACCTAACAGCTTATTAACAAGCAGAGACATCACTTTTCCAGCAAAGGTACATCTAGTCAAAGCTATGGTTTTTCTAGTAGTCATGTATGAATGAACTTTTGTACTGTGGTATTGGAGAGGACTCTTGAGAGTCTCTTGGACTGCAAGGAGATCCAGTCAATCCTAAAGGAAATCAACCCTGAATATTCATGGGAAGGACTGATGGTAAAGCTGCAGCTCTAATACTTTGGCTACTTGATGCAAAGTGCTGCCTCATTAGAAAAGACCCTGGTGCTAGGAAAGATTGAAGGCAGATCAGAGGCCAGAAGATTTATATTATTGTAATATAAATGAATTCTGAAGAGCTAGGGCAAAGTAGCTGCAGCCTTACTACCTTTTCATGTGATAGGAGATGTGAAATTAGCCTGAAGCATCAAAGAGATGGTCCCTGGATCTGAACAGGAAAACAATGACCCCTGGATATCATGAAGCCTCTTCACTTCCACTGGTGGGATGATAAACAAATACATAAGAACTTCAGCTGTAGTCAGAAATCTTCATCAATAAATCACTGTATCTCCCATGGGGGGAAAAAAAAGATTGAAGGCAGAGGAGAAGGGGACCACAGAGGACAAGATGGTTGGATGGCATCATGGACAACTCAATGGACGTGAGTTTGAGCAAGCTCCAGGAGACCGTGAAGGACAGGGAAGCCTGGCATGCTGCAGTCCATGGGGTCACAAAGAGTTGGATACGACTGAGCGACTGAACAGAAATAAGTGTACGAATGTGAGAGTTGAACCACAATGAAGGCTGAGCACAGAAGAATTGATGCTTTTGAATTGTGGTGTTGGAGAAGACTGTTGAGAGTCCCTTGAACAGCAAGGAGATCAAACCAATCAATCCTAAGGAAAATCAGCCCTGAATATTCATTGGAAAGACTGATGCTGAAGCTGAAGCTCAAATACTTTGGCCACTTGGTGGGAAGAGCTGACACACTGCTAAAGACCCTGATGCTGGGAAAGATTGAAGGCAGGAGGAGAAGGGGACAAAAGAGGATGAGATGATTGGATGGCATCATCAACTCAATGGACATGAATAAGCTCTTGGAGATAGTGAAGAACAGGGAAGCCTGGTGTGCTGCATTCCATGGGGTTGCAGAGATTCAGACACAACTGAGCAACTACCACCACCCTTGTATTTTCTTTACACTTTAAAAACAAAATCTACCAGATGCTAATGTGTCGAGAGAGAGTTGTTATATACACCAACTTTTAATAAAGTGTCTTCCCCTTAAACATATAAGGAAATATGATTGCTCCTCAGATCACTAAAGAAGAGAAATGTTCAATTAGAATGGGTTAAAATAAAAGGGCTAATGAGATCTAGAATTGGTGATATGTGGAGCACTGAATATCAATATCGTATGTTGCTGGAGGAAGTATAATTTAATATACCTGTTTTGGAAAATAGTATGATATTGTGTATTAAACCTCAGTATATATGTACTGTTTGTTAATAAGTCTGCTACTAGGTATGTATGCAGCAGAAAAAATGTTTATGTGAGAAGATGTGTATAGTTGTGTTCATAGTAATTTTATTTGCAATAGCCCTAAAATGGAAACAACTCTTATGTACATCAGTAGTAAATTGGGTTATAAGATAAAGTATGTTAAGTCAGTGAAACACTGTCCAGCAGTACAAACAAGGAATTACTAATAACACATAGTAACATGACTGAATCTCACTGATAAAGCATTGAAAGAAATCAAACACAAAACATAATAGTATTTACATGAATTTCAAAAGCATATCTATTGTTAAGGAATAATAGTTACGTAATTTGCTTGCTGAATGGTTACTAACTGGAAGGGAACATGAGGCAACCTGTTTTAGTTCTGGAAATGTTTTTTATATTTGCATTTTGGTTATGGTTATACAGGTGCATGTATATGTAAACCTTCATCAAGGAATACCTTAAGATTTCTGCATTAATTATACATAGTTGTAGCTAAGTACAGAAATAAAAGTTTATTTAAAACTTTTTAAAAAGTAATTTTTATCTATTTCTTGTGCTTCCCCTTAACCCCTGGCAGAACTCTCAATAGTTATGCCTGGTAGTATGCTAAGTAGAATTACATTAAATTTATCTAACAATTTGGAAAGATTTTCTTGATGCAGCATGAAGCCTTTTTAATATGGAACTTATTTAAGTCATTTTCTGTAACCTAAAGGTGTTTTTATAATGTTCTTCATTAAAATTTATATAGTCCTTCAATTTGTTTTTGGATGATTTTAGTTGTGAGCAGCCTTCTCAATCCATTTATATTTCATAATATTGCTAATGTTCAAATTTGATTTTGTACTTTTATCTTTTGTCAGTTATCAAATTTTTTATGCATTAGCAGAGACTCATAGAAAAGGAGAATTGTCCTTACTGATATTTTACTAATTTTTGCATAAACTAAAATCTTTAAAAATGTGTTAAATGCTTAGGGATGCATCCTTGCCTCATTCTTCTTAGAGCTGAAAAGTGTCAAGGTTTCCACAGGAAATATGTTTTGGCCTTTGTTTTTCTGTTGTTTACCAACATTATCACATCATCTCAGTTTTCTAGACATGTTTTTATTAAGCATGGCTCCAGGATTTTTATCAGATACCTTTTGAGATCTGGTATTATAATCATTTACTTTTCTTCTTTGCATTGTTGATTAATTGAATTGAGTTCCTAATATTGAATCATCCTTGTATTTCTGGGAAAAAATGCATTTTATTATATATGGTCTTAATTTTGTATTATATATATAATTGTATATAATATATGTGATTAAGTAGTTTTCTTGTTTAAATATCTACACATAGAAAACCAGTAATTTGTTGAAAATTCATTTGCTGTAATATCAAATAAAATTTTTTCCTCTTTTTTCTTCCCCCACAGTCTGTGGTCGATGACTGGATTGAATCATATAAGCAAGACAGGGACATTGCACTTCTGGACTTAATCAACTTTTTTATCCAGTGTTCAGGATGTCGAGGTACAGAATGTTGGAATATATGATGTACTGTTAGTCCAGCAGTTTCAAATTTACTTTACCTTGTGTTAATCATTTTATAATTCATTCTGGAATTAATTGCTAGTCTTTTGTGGTAAAATTATTTTATTTAAAAATATTTCTCTTTATCCTAGTTCAATTTTGTTCATAACAAATTTCTGAAATTTTAATGTTTTGAAGGAAATCTGAAATTAAGGAGTGTGTGAATTGACCTTTTAGATCACAAGATTTTATAATTTTTACTGATATTATTTGTATCTGTGCTCTATATTGTGAACTGTGCCAGTTGCTAACATTCATTACTTTGGATCCTCATCTTGTAGATGAAGTGCTTGAAGCTTAAACGTTTGAAGGTAACATAAATATGAAAATCAGGTTTAAGTTTACAATCATTTGGAATCCATAGACAATTTGTTAAAAAGTGAAGTTATTCTTATCATATTAGTAGGTAACTGATACAGACCTTTTTTCTCTAGAATAAATATTAACAGGTTAAATTGTACTGTATGGGATAACTCAGTTGGTTAACACCATTCTGTGCTTATCAATGCAGAAAGGTGATCTTCTATTGAGGTCACTGATCAAATTGATTTCTTGAAGGCTTTCTTATTTCTGATTAAGTTATCACTCACCATATTAACATAAGAATTTTATCAATATTTACAAAGTACCTAGGTTATTGTTCCAAAGTATATATATATATATGTATATGTGTATATATATATATATATATATACTATCAAGACAGTCTCTGCCCCAGTAACTATTAGAATATGTTTAATTTTTATTTCTTAACAATTTCTGCTTTAATTTTTTTTAATGTACTTTCTACTTTGAGTTTATTTGCTATTTATTTATTTGGCCATGCCATGCAGCGTGTGACATCTTAATTCTCCAGTTGGGAATCCAGTCTGTAGCCTACTGCAGTGGAAGTGTGAAATCTTGATCACTGGACCACCAAGAAAGTCCCTGTTGAGTTTTTAAAGAAGGATGTTTTGCAAAGAAAAGGAGGGAAATATACCAGTAATTCACTGAACTGCTTATTACCAGGAGAGTAATAAAATTGGATACAATTTAGTGACTGTTTCAGCTTGGCAGTGTATGTGCCAAACTGTGTGCTTTACATGCATTAGCTCGTTTGATATTAGTTTGACACTTCTATCAGTCAGATATGATTTTTATTCTGTCATTCAAGAAACTAAGGATTCAGGGCTTAGGTTAGTTTTTGGACATCATCCAGTTTTAAAGTGCCGAATTCATGATTTAGATTCAGGCTTGTCGCTATCTGGAGTCTCCATGTCTAACCACAAGGTGTAGTGTAGGAATAACAAGGAGGAGCTTCTGATTCAACCTAGGCTGTGTGTTTCTGTGTATGTGTGAATATGAGGATATTTCTAAGAAAGTGCATCTCAAAGGAACAAACTTGATACTGGAACTGAGGTGTTGAGTAAGAGTAAATTAAGGTGGAAGAGAAAGGTCCAAGTTGACAGTTGGTGTAAAAATTCCAGAAAAAGAGAAAGTACATCTCACTCTGGTGCATAAAGAGAGTTTGTGGCAGCAACCTGGAGTATAGAGTTAGATGAGGATTGGCAAGAGATTAGTTTATTTGAAGGAAAGTGAGTTTGTTAATTTTACAGTCTTAAACTGGGAAAGGCAAGTACTGAGTGAAGTGCTTTACATATGTGGTCTTGTCTAATCTATTTAAGTGTCCCGTTAGAATGAGTTTCGATTTTAAAACAAATAGTAGTCTTAAAATTTTTTGTTTTTGTAAATTGTTCATATGGTTCAAAAAAAAAAATGCAACAAGAGAAATGTAAATCAAAAAACCTTTACTACTTCTTGCCTTCCCATCTATCTCCACAGAGTTACTTCTTAACTCCTTGATTGTATATCCATCTATCTGTCTGTATGAGTAGGAGATGTATGCTCTTTTCTTCCTCACCCCTTTCACACAAAAGATACTGGTATATAGAGAACTTTCTTGGTTTCTTGCCTTCCCTTCCCTCTTTATTTCTTTTCCTCCATTCCCTCACATTTCTCCCCTTCCTCCCTTTCCCTTCCTTTTCTTCCCTTTCTTCCCTCCTCTCCATTTCCTCCCTTCCCTCTCCCTCTTTTCCAGCATCAAAGCATTCCTTTTTATGTATGTACAGCGATTTATTTAACTAGTTGTCTGTTAACAGTGCATTGACTACTATCTGTTGCCTTTTGTTCTTACGATGAGTAATTTCATTTGTTCTTTGTGGCAGAATAAATGTCTGTAGGTTATTATATTTTTAATTATATTAGATACTTCCAAATTTCCTGTTACAGAAATTATGTCCATTTTACTCCTATCAGTAATATATGAAAATATCTGTTTCTATTTGGTCTTTTCAACAAAGTATTTTTATCAAATTTTTTATTGGTCTTATGAATGATTTAAAAATACATTATATGATTTTTTTTTTAATTGAGGTGAAATATACTTAAACAGTTAACCATTTTAAAGTGGGTGGTTTAGTAGTTTTTAGCACATTAATAGTGTTGTATAACCACCTCTTTCTGGTATCAAAACTTTTTTGTTACCAACTCAGAAGAATACTTATCATTAATTAGTCACTCCACATTAGCCTCTTCCCTGCAGTCCTTGGCTACCTCTAATCTGCTTTCTGCTCCTATGTTCTTTCTGCTCCTTTTATGTAAAAGGAGATTGTACAGTATGTGATCTTTTGTGTCTGATCTCTTTAATTTAGCATATCTTTGCGATTTCTCTGAGGAGTAGCATATATTGATAAAATTCATTTCATTGTACGTATATATTACAATATGTTTATCCATTCATCCATTGATGAATGGACTTGTACTTTTTGGTTGTTGTGAATATTGCTACTATGAATATTTATGGCCAGGTATCTATTTGAGTACTTCTTTTTTAATTCTTTGGTGTAAATACCTAGGAGTGAAATTGCTGGATCATATGGTAATTCTATTTTAAGTTTTTGAGGAACTGCCAAACTGTTTTCACAGCAGCTGCACCATTTTAAATTCTATAAATATATGAAGACTCTTACTTCTCTACATCCTCTAAAACACTTTCACTTGCCAGTTTTAAAATTTTAATGTCCTAGGGGGTATGAAATGGTATTTTTTTTAATGGTTTTGATTTGCATTTTCTTTATTACCAGCGATTTGGGCAACTTTTTGTGTTTTTGGCAATTTGTATGTCTTTTTGAAGTAATGTGTATTTGAGTCCTGTGCTTATTTTGAAATTAGATGGGTTTTATTTTATTTGTGAGTTATTGTATTAGAGTTCTTTGTATATTCTTGATATTAAATCTTTTATCAGATACATAATATGGAATTGCTTATAACTTGTAACTACTCCCACACTGTAGGATGTGTTTTCCCTTTATTAAAGATGTCAAAAGATGGACAAAAGTTTTAAGTCTTTGTGAAGTCTAACTTTTCCTTCATTTCTTTTTCTCATGCTTATGGTATCAAATCTATGAATCCATTGCCAATTCTAAGGGCATGAAGATTTACCTCCATATTTTCTTCTAGTAGTTTTATAGTTTTAGATCTTATATGTAGGTCATTGATCCATGGTTAAATTTTGTATTTGGATGATTTTAATTTGTATTTCTCTTACGTGTGTGACTTGAGAGCCATTTTTATTTCTTTTTTTTCAGTTTTCTGTTCATATCCTTTGCTACTTTTCCTTTCAGCTATCTTCATAGTTCCTGATAAGGCATTTGACAAAACAGATTTTAAAACATTTTAGTATATCAGACTGAAAGGCATCTTTTCTTAACATCTTTAAAAGAATGCTCACTGTCTCTCATATTAGTGCATTATAATAAAAATCTAAAATAGATTCAAGTACCTGTGAACCAGTAGTAAGCAGATACTACTAGCACATATGAAAGAAGACAGCTGCAAGATACAACTATACAATATAGCATTTTTCATCTCTCAGATTGATAGAAATTATAAGTTATAATCCCTGTTCTTTAGGCTGTGAGGAAACAGACACTCTTAAATTACTTGTTGGAATAAAAGTGGATACCTATATCATAGATAGAAATTTGACGTTATCTACCAAAACTCCCTCATAGCTCAGTTGGTAAAGAATCAGCCTGCAATGCAGGAGATCCTGGTTCGATTCCTGTTTCGGGAAGATCTGCTGGTGAAGGCATAAGCTACCCACTCCAGTGTTCTTGGGCTTTCCTTGTGCCTCAGCTGGTAAAGAATCTGCTTGCAATGCGGGATACCTGGGTTTGACCCCTGGGTTGGGAAGATTCCCTGGAGAAGGGAAAGGCTTACCCACTCCAGTATTCTGGCTTGGAGAATTCCATGGACTATACAGTCAACGGGGTCAAAAAAAGTTGAACCCGACTGAGCAACTTTCACTTTCACCAAAACTCCTTATGTTCTTATCTTTTGACCTAGCCATGCTGTTTCTGGAATTTTGCCATGAAGATATATTTCCATCTTACAAAAATAAATGCACAAGGTTATTCAGTAACATATTTATAGTTGTGAAATATTGGAAACAACCTAAGTGCCAATGTGTAGGACAGTGATTGAGTAAACTGTGGCAAAGCTTATTCAGTGGAGCTTTTTGGCATGGCAAAAAATTGTGAGGAAAAACTGTGTGGGCTAATGCAGGGAGATTTTCAGGACACATTTATTTTTTTAAGTGCAAAAGAGTGTCTAAAAGTATTCAACTTTTTTTAGAGGAAAGAAGAGAAATAATAGAATATACACATGTATCTGGTCACTTGACAATAAAGAAACAAAGGGAAGATAAGACACAGAATAATAATTGCCTACCTGTAGGGTATAGTGATGAAGAAGGCAATGGCACCCCACTCCAGTACTCTTGACTGGAGAATCCCATGGACAGAGGAGCCTGGTGGGCTGCAGTCCATGGGGTCGCTAAGAGTCGGACACGACTGAGCAACTTCACTTTCATTTTCCACTTTCATGCATTGGAGAAGGAA